GAAGTGGTGCCTCGATGCGCACCCGGGATCCGAACCCGGGCCACCAGCATTGCAGCGCGCGCACTTAACCACCAAGCCACAGGGCCGGCCCAAGATGTAACTTTTAAATAAGCATTTTACTATGTTTTAGTTATCTCATAGGAAAGTGGTTAGGGATTTTAGATTGATAAGAATAAACCTCTACTCACCATTCAAAAAATTCTACATTTCTAAACTCAAAAATATCTACTCCAGATTTCCCTGATATGTATAGCAAATAAAATGCTACATATTCTCAAGGCACTCATCACTCTTCTCTAATATCTTCTCATTCTGCTCTTTTCCGGTACATGAATGTATCTTTTGAAACAAGACTGATTGTTGCATAAGAAAGGGATGCTATTATTTCTTGGAAGATGATGTTCAGATCTTTTCCAAGCTCTCTGTACCACGAAGAGGACAACAATCAAGCATCATAGCAATTAAGGTGTTTAGGATAAAGATGCTTTTAAAGGAACAATTTATATTTAAAACCCCAAATCTCAATACAGTATGAGATGTTAGGAAAAAGAAAATGATCGGATATGAACAAAGGCTGATGCACAAGAATAGTAATTTCAGACTTAATACAAAAAAATGGAAATAGCCTGTAAAACAATAGGGAAATAGGTAAATAAAACACAATTTAGCCATATGTTAGGATATGTCCTTATAAATAACGTTTTGAGTCATATTTAATGACATGGGAAGATGTTCATGACACATACAATGTTAGACGAAGAGAGCAGAATACTGTACATAGTTTTTGTCTCCATTTTGTAATGCACAAGTAGATTCACAGAGGACGCCTCTGGCTGATGAAATTATGGGTAACATTTCCTCTTTAAACATTTACACATTTTCCCCATTTCTACAGTGAGTTTCTACTTGCAATTACATGGAGGGGAAAAAATATTTAGGGAAACTTTTCTTCAAGCTAATACTGCCAATCTTAAAGTCTTTTTTTTTTTTTTTTGTGAGGAAGATCAGCCCTGAGCTAACATCCATGCTAATCCTCCTCTTTTTACTGAGGAAGACCGGCTCTGAGCTAACATCTATTGCCAATCCTCCTCCTTTTTTTTCCCCAAAGCCCCAGTGGATAGTTGTATGTCATAGTTGCACATCCTTCTAGTTGCTGTATGTGGGATGCGGCCTCAGCATGGCCGGAGAAGCGGTGCGTCGGTGCGCGCCTGGGATCCGAACCTGGGCCGCCAGTAGCGGAGTGTGCGCACTTAACTGCTAAGCCACGGAGCTGCTAAGCCACGGAGCCGGCCCTGCCAACCTTATTCTAACCAAACTCCCCAAAGCAAAATTGTATAGCAAGAACCAATATAGAGCTGCAGAAATAATGACCCCAAATCCCTTACTTTCCAATTAAGGTTCAAGATCAGTTTGAATGCAGAACTCTAGAGTTAAGACTCTCATAGAATAATCACTTTCTATAATAGTTCAATTCTGGTTATTGTGAAACACCAACTTGTAAGGTTAAAATAAAATAATAAGATATACTCAACATAAAATTGATATTCTAATGTAGGGTTCCGGCTAGTTAGTATCTAATTTGTTTAAATTGAAACAGAAGAATATGTATGTGACAAGGGTTTGTGATGACCCTTTCACGCAATGTGAGAGTGTTCCCTTGATGCTTTCAAGGACTGCCAGTCTCTCTTTTCAATTCCCTCAAACGGCCTCACTTAACGCCTTCTGATTGGCTGCTGTTAACACTCATGTATATCTTCTGCAACATGAACTGCATCAGACTCCAGAGTCACTCTCTTGTAAGCATTTATGGGCAGGGACAACACCTTGTTCATTTCTGTACCCCAATAGCTGGTATGTGTTTAAGAGTAAATAAAGGTTCAAAAAACTATGGGAAAAACGAAGGAACTATCATATCAGATATCATCCAAACCATATAAGCACATTATACCTGTCTTGTTCCTTTCTCAATTCTATTGGTACTTCCATTGAAGTTTACAATCCCTAACCAAATTACTCTTTTTTTTTTTAATAATTTTATTTATTTATTTATTTTCCCCCAAAGCCCCAGTAGATGGTTGCATGTCATAGCTGCACATCCCTCTAGCTGCTGTATGTGGGACGCAGCCCCAGCATGGCCGGAGGAGCGGTGCATCAGTGAGCGCGCGGGACACGAACCCGGGCCGCCAGCAGCGGAGCACGCGCACTCAACCGCTAAGCCACGGGGCCGGCCCCAAATTACTCTTTACTCCTGTAAATCATGAAGCTTACTTTTCTCATGGTAATCTGTTTTACCTTATAGTTTCATTGAAATCTTTTCTATTATCTTCATTATTCCCTCTCAAGGTATAGTAATTAAAAAAAACTCTAGTCTTAGCAGCTACCATTCTACAAGACCACTTCCTTATTTTTCCATGGTAGTTCTTACTGTCCTCTCTCCAGAAAAATGCACATACATACATTTTGTAAAATATGCACAACTTTTTTTTTATATTTCAAGAGATTCATAGACCCTCCTCAAGCCCATTCAAGGAATCCCAGGATAAGAACTCTTGGGTCACATGGTTGATATGTTTTGGCTCATTCTTATATAAATGCTTATATGGATTTATCATTTAGTATGCTTTAAACATTTGCTGAGACAACATTTGCTGCTATAAAAATTAGACAGGGATAAATTGATACAACTTTTACTCTGTAGCTTTGTAACTGGAAGGTACTTGCAAATATTTCAACACCTATGGGATTACTTTTTACAGCCCAGTCCCTGTATTAGGGACTGGGGACACAACAATGAACAAGACAGACATGGATCCTGCCATCTTGAAGGTCACAATGTAACACAAGGGCCGAGAGTCAAACAAAGAACATCAATATGGAATGACTTAAGAGTTCAGGGCTGGAAGTAGGAGGAGCAGTCAGAGCCAATGTGATAAACTAGACAAGAGAAGATGACGGCCTGGGTTAGGATTGTGGCTGTTGAGCTAAAAGAGAGGAAGACTAGAAAGACCCAGAAGAAGTAAAATCAACAGGGCTTGCCTGTTAAGAGTCAAAGATGATGCTGAGGTTTCTGTCTTAGACACATGGAGATGGGGAAACAAGAGAAGATGGTTTGGGGAGAAAGCAGATGAGTTCACTTGTGGACATGTTGGGCTTGTCTTATCTGCAGGAAATGAGGTGTCCCTATCTAGCCAACAGCTGGATGTATGAGTCTGCACTTTTAGAGAAATCTGTCCTGTAGATTGGGAGCTGGAAGACAGCTCGAAACAAAAACCATGGAAAAAGGTGTGGTGGCTCAGGGAGAAGTGAGCCCAGGATAGAAACTTGAAGGACCAAGAAGAGTCTGAAAGTGGAAAAAAAAAAAAAAGAAAAAAAAGAGATCAGAGGAGAAAACTAGGAGAATGTGGTATCACAGACTGATTCCTTTCCTGTTCAGGTGCCACTATAAAGTATTTTCCTAAAGGAAGTTTCTCTGAATTCTTTGGGCATCTTTAATCTCACAAATTAGAGGAGAGCTGTATAAACAAAGAAGTTTACAAACATTTTATAATACAGTCTTGCTATAAATCAAAATCAATGTGTGCTTATAGTACACATTAAAAAACATTAAATATAATAAATATAAAGGAAGTTTGGGAATAACTTAAGTGATAATCAGATAATTGATGCTTTCATTACATAATGCCATATCTTTAAACCCATATTTAAGACAATAGAAACTTAAAATAAAACTATATATCTATCATCTATATTTCTAAAGCAAAATAACATATCTTTGTATATGTATTACAATTTATAAAGTATTTTAACCATGATCCTATTTAATTCTTACATAAAAGCCATAATAAAGGTTTAGAGGAATTTTTATCCCCCTTCTGCTGACGAAGAAGTCGATGCTCAGAGAGGTAAAGACTCTCCTAAAACCACGGTTTAGAGATTGGCAGAGCTCTTTCCACTATGCCATGATGCTTTCATACAGTTCAGTATCATATAGGGACAGAATTTCCTATTCTATGAATTTCAAGTATAAAGTTCAAGAAAGTGTGAGGGGGGGTGTGTGTGTGTGCGAGAGAGATAGAGAGAAAGAAATGAACAGGGAATGAGAACTCCACGGACTATCCTTACTTTGCACCCTTATACCATTATTTTTCACTAGGCTGGTTGTATAAAGACACTTTTTCAAGGGGATGACTCTAGACCATGAGTGTGGTAAGCAGCTGTCTCACCTAATCTGCTACGTCTAATTTCTTCTGGTGAGACGGGCCGCAGCTTTCTTTCTGCTTTGATTTCTTCTAATATTCTTTCATGGAGGCTCCGTGGCCGTGGTGGAGTGGGTTTCAGTTTTCTGGCTGAGACCTTGGAAAAAAAATACGTAATGGCTAGAGACTTTGAGGAGTTTTCCTTAAATAATTTATACTGAAGTCCATTCATACAGTACAGTATTATGAAATTATATCATTGATTGCAAATTGCTTGATAAAAGACCATTTTCAAGTCATTATCAAGATTCCTAAAGCAATAGGGAGATTATTGGATTTTACAGTGATTTAGTAATATGTGCTCAACTAATGTTAAGGAGACAGTTTTGCTAAAGTTATAAATATGTTCCCTATATGCTAGCATGATAGGCAATCAATTGAAATGTAAGCTATACTTTACCTATTACTATTATTGTTTTCGAAACTATCAGCCTTGAGTAAGTCATCACAACCTTCTTAGACTATTATTATTATCTTCATTCTATAGTTGAGGAAATAAAGGGCTCCAGGAGGCTGATTAACTTGCTCAGAGACATGTGGTTGCAAAGTTTGGAGCTGGCTAGTGTGCAAATGCAGGTTCATTTGACTCCATGCTCTTTCTGCTCTACTGTGACCTGCCTTCTTAAAATCATTTCCTAGGTGGCCTCTTTCCCTTCTTTTATAAAGATTCATAAAAGGGATCATTAATTATGCTTTAGATGTACACAAACTAAGAAAGAAATACGATTCCCTGTCCAGTTAATTAACGCACACAGGTTTGAGAGGCTTTGGTGAGCACCCCTTATGGAGGCAAGGGGATAAGAAGTGAGGAACAGAGGAAACACAAACCAACATTCACCCAGATTAGAATATTCTGATTCTGTGGTCACTAGAAAGAACCCTGTTAACAGAAAAGGATAATTAATATGAAAGTAGATGTTCAGCAGGGTGGATTTACTGTAAAATAGCATCAAAATGATGATTTAATCAAGGAGAGTATTAGCGCTATGAAGTAAATAGGAAGGGCACTCCACACCAGGAACTATCTGGTATTACATTTAGCTGACGCTCTAGGAGGTGTGTGGCCCAGGTTGTTGTGAGTTAAAACACTCTAAAAACCTTGTATTGAAAAATTTTATGTATTTTTATGTGACTTAAATGTAATTCACAGTTGGGCTTCATCATTCTGAGAATAAAAGCTCAGTGTAAAAACTAACCACTTTAAGAGCTGTGTTCTAGAGATCACATCCTAGAAGAGAATAATTCATTCTGCAATCTCCAGTCAAGAGGAATATGTCAAATTACATACAGGATTTAAAGGAGGTCTTGATCTGATGAAGTCCAGGATGATTTCATGAGCACTTTTTTTTAACCGAGGAGGAATATCACCATTCACCTGAAAGGAGACAAAAAGTAGAAGATTTCCTGTGAATACAGGATTATCATGATAAATTTCTGGGTACAGCTGTTATCTTGACATTTGTCACAAAATTACTGAAGTAATCTGTACTGTAGTACTGTAAGCTGGCTCTACCAAGGATGCATTTCAAATCTTTAAAATGGAGAGTAAATGGCTGTGTGATTTAAAGCAAAAATAACTATGCAGAATTGAAGAAAATCCAAGTTCACTTTAGTTCTATCATTTTGGGAATTTATATATGAGATACATCCCTTCCAATAAGAAGTTTCTAAAATTATGAATGGGAATGGAATAAATACTACTACAGTTAACTAATTATTTTATAATTTAAAAAGCCTTTTACCTCTTATTTTTGTCCTTGTACAAAACTTAGGTAATAGGAAAGACTGGTGACACAATTCATATTCTGTAGATAAAACTCAGCCTGAGAGCAAAGAGGGTATCTGCTACATTACAGAACTTACAGAACTAGTAAGTAGAAGAATTTCTGTAGAGCCTGGGTCTCTCTCTGACTCCTGCTCTAATGTCCTCTCTTTTTTTTTTTTAATAAAGTATTTATCGAGATGACCAACCTATGCACATATTTTTTTTTTTTTGTAAGGAAGATTAGCCCTGAGCTAACATCCATGCCAATCCTCCTCTTTTTGCTGAGGAGGACCGGCCCTGAGCTAACATCTATTGCCAATCCTCCTCCTTTTTTCTCCCTTTTTCTCCCCAAAGCCCCAGTAGATAGTTGTATGTCGTAGCTGCACATCCTGCTAGTTGCTGTATGTGGGACGCCGCCTCAGCATGGCCGGAGAAGCGGTGCGTCGGTGTGTGCCCAGATCCGAACCTGGGCCACCAGCAGCGGAGTGTGTGCACTTAACCACTAAGCCACGGGGCCAACCCCTCTAATGTCCTCTCTTTTTAAAGCAATGTGTTACCAAAAAAATTTTTTTAAGACAACCCCAGAAACCCACAAAAATAACAACCTAAATCACATTCTGACCGCTCAGAAGGCATAGTTACGACCATTTTGTCATATTTATTTCGCAGTCTTATATGGAAAACCTCTATAATACTTTTTCCTCCCACTTTGGTGACCTACTTTTTTTTTTTTTTTTTTGACATATGAAATTAATTTATTTTTTCTCCTCGAAAATGGTTGCACAAAGAAATATAATGGTAATTTTCATTCCCAAGGATGTTTTGATATTCACAGGTCATGAGATTGGGTTCATATTTTTTTTTTTTTTTTTTTT